CCATTGTACTCCATGTCCACCCCCCGCTTTAAACCTCTGAGAAGCAAAGCGCCACACAGAGACAGCAACAGGCAGTGGACCCTCATATGCAGGCACTGACACGTTCTTTAGAACCATATTAGGAAGCGAAGTGTTTAAAAAGACAGCAAAGGTTTAATAAGGCTTTGTGTGGGGACCCCAACACATGGCTGGTGTCCTGTTAAAGGAAAAAAAAAGCATAAAGGGGAAGGCCATGCAAATACTGAGAGCAAAGTTTCAGCAGAAAACAACCCTGATGACATCGTAATTTGGACTTCTGATGCCCGAAACCATAAGAAGATAAACTGCTGCTATAAGGGAAATCCAAATTAAGACAACAATGAGGTACCACCTAACGCCAGTAAGAATGGCTCACATACAAAAAACTACCAACAGAACTTGCTGACTAGGATGTGGGGAAAAAGGAACCCTACTCCACTGTTGGTGGGACTGCAGGTTGGTACAGCCTCTATGGAAATCAGTATGGAGAACACAAACAACTGAAAATCTGCATACCATATGATCCAGCAATAGCACTCCTAGAAATATATCCAAAACACCTGCTACACGAGAAACCTACATGCACCCCTATGTTCATAGCAGCACAATGAATAATTGCAAAAGCTTGGAAGCAACTGAAATGCCCATCAACAGAAGACTGGATAAAAAAGCTATGGTTCATTTACTCCATGGAATACTACTCAGCTATTAAAAAACAAACAAACAAACAAACAAACAAACAAAACCAAAATGGAGTTCTTTGTGGTCAAATGGGTCCAACTGCAAACCATTATGTTAAAGGAAATGAGCCAATCCCAAAAGGTTAGATACCACGTTTGCCTTAATTTAAGATGAAATGATGTCAATCTGAAAAACTGTAACATTATTCTAACCCCAAGCAGCCTTTATCTCATGCAATAAGATATTGTGATGTAATCAATGAATGAACAATCAATGTGAATCAGATTGCTTATGATCTACATCAAAGAATTGTAAAACCAAATATACTTCTAAGACCCTAAGCTACTTGAAAATGGGGAGGGAGAGCAGAGAAATCTTCAATCTCCTTAGAATGTGTGAGGAAGATGTGAAGTATAACCTATCAGGGAAATAACAGGTAACTTACAGACAACAGACTCGAATCAGCATTAGATAATAGTAAAATTACAAAGACATACAGGGGGAATCAAGAGCAATCCTGACAACCTCTTAACAGGAGGTCATATGCACAGAGCAGGGGGGACCCCAGAGTGGAGCAGGTGGACAGGAGGAGGCTTGTGTCCCAACCCTGGAGACTCCTAGATCCTCACCAAGGATTATCAGTACGAGCTCCGAGGACTACATCCCAACTGCCAAGGAGACCACGGGGAATTGGAGTGCCTTTGGAGGCCGAGAACTCTGAGGTCACCCACCCCATTTGGATCTCCCACATGGAATGGATGAAGCCCAAATCCTTCCTCGTAGGATCCAAGGTCATTGGAACAACATCCAGGAGCCATGAGTGGGCCACAGAAACAGAAGAACAGTAAACTTCCTTTGGGACTTGGAAGAGGAGCTTCTCTGGTCCTTACTTAGTTCCAATTTTAGATCTCCACTCTCTCCTGCAATGACCAACAGGGTCACTCCAGAGAGCCACCCCCCCCCAAATTAGAATAGATAGAGAACAACAAGGAAAGCTTAGAACCAGACAGGAAACAGTCAGCATGGATTCACATATAACTTACTAGGTAGGACACAAAGATTAGTTACTCCTCACTAAGGTATTGAAGATTTCTCTGCACACCCCTTCTAAAACCGTTCTTCACCTCAACTGTTGATATATGCCTTGTTAGAGTTATAAGCCAGTTTAGACTATCCAAAAATCTGCCAAGTTCAGTAAAAATTATGCTTTAACACTATAAACTGCTAAATACTAAAATGAAAATAGAAACGAGACTACTGAATAGTACCATGTAGCCATTTTAAGGTGGATAGCAGCCGGTTCCATATATAAACTAAAATTGAAATGTCAATGAAGTAGTCACAGAATGTGGTTAAGAACTTGCATTTTTTTTTTTACATATTGGTCACTCAATACTATGTCAATTAATTCCATAATGTTGTAAATTGTTGTTGATGTTATGTTGGGGCTTTAAATTGATCGGGATAATATTGTGCCAGCTCTACCTTCAGAACAGAGATGTTCTCCCCAAGAAACTTTTAATTTACCTGGACAGTAAGATGCTGGACTCTATGCTTGGTATATGCCTGCAATGAAAGAATCTTGACTGGATTTGAGCTACAATACTGCAACAAGGTGGAGGAATCCACCATGGGGGGAGGGCATGGGGAAGGGTTAGGGGAATCTCAGAGCCTATGAAATTGTCACTTAATGTAATATAATTAATAAAAAAGAAAAAAAGAAAAGAATAAAGAAAATAAGATAAACTGCTGCTGTTTAAGCCCCCCAGGGTGTGGTATTTTGTAACTGCAACAGGTTATACCAGGCAGAGATAGCTCATTGTCCAATTCCTGGGATTTCCTGGAGAAAAAAAGAGACGTTTTCAAAATGATTAACTGGGATGGTGTTAGGCTACTTGGAATGCCCTGATTCCAGGTCAGAATGCCTGGATTTGAGTCCCAGTTCTGCTTCCAATTCCAGCTTCCTGCTAGTGTGAACCCCCAGAAGCAATGCTTGGAAACCCATACTGAGTTTCGGGCTCCTGGTTTCAGCTTGGCCCAGTGCCAAACTGAAATTTGAAAAGTAAACCAGTTGGTAAAAGACCTCTGCCTCTGTTTTGGTCTTCCTTTCAAATAAATGCATTAAAACTAGACAATGCCCACTATTTATAAAAGCCTAATAAACACATACAAAATAAGGTTAAATTAAAATTCCAGGTTTCATTGCTCTTTGGTGGAGCTGGACCAAATCAACATGATAGCCCAGCTCTCTTCATACTCATCACATATCTTTGACTAACTTAAAATGAGAAAACTGTCATTTAATAATGTTGATTTGCAACAAAAAGCAATTCAGGGTTTGATGAAGGGACATTTGATCATGAACCACTGCTTTCTGCCCCCACTTCTTTTATTAGGATCCTTTGAGGCCCATGCTGCTTAATCCTCCCTGAATCCCTAGAACTCTCGGGGGGTGAAATGAGCAAATTATATGGCTTTAGTCATTTATCACATCAGGGGTTTGAGGGCCATTGTTTCCAAACCTGGGAGTGTTGCTGACATTTGCTGGATGCTATCTTGGTGATTTTCCTGAGTCAATGAACTTTTAACTGACAGGATCTCAAAATAACAAAATAGGAAAATGCCTAAATATAGGGGAGGATAAACTAATTCCCTAACCTAGCAGAAACAAAATGTTAAATTGAAGGCATCCCATGTTCTAGGGCATTAAATGCTGACCCTCAGTAGGATGTTTCTCAAAGTTAGACAAACAGTACTCTAAGCCAGAAAGCACATTTTTAAAAAACACTTATTTATTTATTTATTTGAAGATCAGAATTACAGAAGAGCAGAAGAAAGACAGAAGTTGTCAGTCCACTGGTTCACTCCTTGGATGGCTCCAATAGCCACACTGTGCCAGGCTGACACCATGAGCTTCTGGGTCCCCCATGTGAGTGGAAGGTGCCCAAACACTAGCGTCACTTTTACTGGTTACTCAGGCCATTAGTAGGGAGTTGGATCAGAAGTAGAGCAGCAGCAGGGACATGAATTGACACCCATATGGGCTGCCAGTGACACATGGGTGACATGGGTGGCTTCATACACAAGACCACAACGTAGACCCCAGGAAATGTGCATTTAATTTGAAAAACAAAAAAAAAAAAGGAAAAAGGTAGAAAGAACATCCACTTCTATCAAGAACAAAGGGTTGTTAAATGTTTTATAGCAAAATATCAACCGCATTCTATTACAATATACAGACTGGATGTTCTAACCAGTAACACTGAGTCTTGGCAGAAGGAAGCTCAGGGTGGAAATGGGAGCTTGAAAGGTGGGGAGACAAATGTATCAATGTACCTTGATCTGCTCTTCCTGAGCTGCAATACTGGTGTGCAGACATGCTTAAGCACTGGGAAAGACTTGTAAAATTTCCTGAGTATTTCACTACACAATTCTTAACTTATTACCTTAACTGAACGTGAAAGTGTTTTGATAGAAACATCCATTTCAGCATTTACTGTCTTCAGTAACTGAAAACCACAATCCTAAAAACTTACGACACAACTAGAAAGTCTTTGGAGTTATCATAAGGTAAACTTCAAGGCAATTTATCAAGAGAACATTTTCTTGAACCATGAAGCTAGGGAAATGTGCAGATACAAGGGTTATCAAGGGTAGTTGATTGGTTTTCTAAATAACAGGATCAGAAAAATCCTGGAAGGAAACTAGGGTGTGGGAATGTGTGAATATTGGGTAACAGATGGCTAGGAAAATGTGGAGACCAGTTTGAATCAACTAGCATACACTGTGTCTTCATCAGGTATCATTTCCTTCACATATACAGTTACATCAAGGAAACACTTCTACAAAATCTACCATCTCATTCATTTGTAAAATCAGTTTGCAAGGAAATTTGTATTCTCAATACCTTAGGTTAAAAGTACTTGGATTTTGATATTTACCCCTAAGTATATGTGGCACTCTCAGTCATTTCTTGATCACATGGTTTCTTGATAAAAGATGACTAATAGTAATGATGCTAAAAAAATTTACATCCTGCCTAGAGCTCAGGACAGCAGTCACAATCCGCTTAACCATTTCTTATTATTGAGCTCACCAAACTAAACCAATGGAATGACTTATTGTTTAGACCACTTAAAATAAGATCATTTTCCTTTTTAAATAATTTGTTTTTAGACAAGTGGTTATTCAGAAAAATAATATCGAAATGCATTCATTCATCCTGACTTTAAATATGTACTGAGCATTTGGCCTGAATTTGGTACTTCTAGTTTATACTTTGGTACCCTATTTTCTTTTTATTTGACACTTCATTATATTAATACACCAGTGAAAGGAATTAAAAGAAAATGAATAGCATTTCAATTTGGATGCAGATATTTTGTACTCATACTAATAAAAGAGCTCATGCTTTCAAAGGAATGGAAAAATAAAACCATATGTGGTAACACAGAGTGCTGTAGTCATAAGTTATCCAAACATACAACCATTTCCATTATACAATTAAGCAGCCAGTTCTAACACACGACAGAACATCTGATTAAAAAAGCTTACAACCAATGCTCTAAGAAGGAAACATCATTGAAAATAATTGTAAAATATACCCTTGTAAAATGGCAATTTTTTTTTAACATTAAAACCTTGTTTCAGAAGTTCCCCGCTTTAGGTTGTTACTCAAAAACTCATCATGTTCAAAACTCAAATTATTGTGTGATCTGGAAATCATGAGAAGCTTCTCCTTATTGGTGAAGTCCTTTTTAATTGCAGCCTGGGGCACAAGCAATCTATCCATCGGGTCCTCTTTGTTCTCTAGTTTCATATACCCTTTGCTGTTGCTTCGATCCAAACGAGGCCAACTTGGATGCTTCCGCTGCTCTGCCTGAACCGTTAGTGTGGAGGGACCTCGCTCTAAGTCTAAGGATTTTGAGTGTGATGAGAGCAAATGCAGGGAGGTATTGGATCCAAATTGTCTTCTAGCAGCCCCAGGAGACAAGAACTGCCCAGCCCCAGGTCCCAGAGCCACAGAAGATTTATACTGGCTTGACAATGATTCCCCAACAGAGTAATTCCTTGGCAGCCCCATGCTGACTGGCTGGAAGGATTCACTGGCACTGGGCAGAGGGACCATGAGGGAGTCCATTGACAAATTTCGCGACCTACTTTTGACATTATCAACATCCTCAGTGATGTTATCAATACTCGGCTCATCAATCACACAGTTATTAAGTTTGATCACAGGCAATGTAAAAGCACTGATGGAAGATGACACAATTGACTTGGTTTCACACTTCTTAGGGCCACTGGTCTTCTCGTCAGCTGCTGTAGAAGAAGGTGGATAGAGGCCAAACACAGAGACAGCACTGTCAGAGAGCAGAGGAGGCATCAGGTGGCCAGCACTCTTACTTTCATTCAGCATGAGTTCATCCTCCTCCACAGAGCTGTCCATTCGGAAACTGCTCCGGAAACCTGAGAAAGAGGCAATAGTATTGGCTGCCAATCTCGAGGCACAGGAGCTCCCGTTCTGTCTTACTTCTGTTTCTCCCACCAAACCAGTGTACATGCCATTCATGTGCTTTTGCTCCTTGATTCTCAGCGTGTGGATGTCAATGACTGTGGAATAGATATCCCGCATGTGTATGATTTTGGTTTCTTTGTCACGGTTTTCATGCAGGATGGCATTAGCACAGATGAAGATGAAAATACCAATGCCCATGGTGAAAGGACCAAGCATTTTCATTTTATCAGAATGCAGGTGCTGCTCAAAGAAGCGAACCACCACACCTCCTTGGTTTCGAATAACCTGAGTTTCGTTGGTTGACAGGGTTGTTTCAGCGTTGATGAAATGTTCTTTCTGGGGCCAATACCCAAGCACAGCCATTGCTATGCCTACAATAGAGATAAGAACTCCTAAGATGAGAAAAAAACCAGAAGGGGAGTAAAGGCGAATTTTGCCACGAACGACCACCACATCAGCCCGGGGCCGCCGGCGGGCAGGCTTCTTCCCCTGAGCAGCAGGCGACGGAGTGAGGTTGACATGGTGCTGTGATCGGGCAGAGTCTTGCCTTTTCAAGGCGGCCAGGCCAGTTATCACTCCTCCCGTTGCTATCATTCTGTGGCCTTTTATTCTGGAAAGAAAGGAAAGAGAAGATGATCTAGATAGGTCCTTGGGATGTGATCAGTAATTCAGTGCCATTCAGTATTGGTGTGGCATTTCCGTTTCTGCTTCATATGATAGAATGGAGCAGAATAATAGCATTTTAATTGACATAATTTTGGTAAAAGTTTTCTTTACTGACTAACATAAAATTCTGGATATTTCCTTTTTTTGGCTGGATAAACATTTCTATTCATGATGGTTAGTTCAAGATACATTCTATTGAAAAATCCTTTATCACAAGAATTATCAAGATGGTCTCTAACACACAGGCAACCATGATTACTCCTACTGTTCAAAATAAACAGAGAAATCCAGAATACATAATACCTACAGAGTAAACCCAAGGTTTACAGAGATTATGCATTATAGAAGTCAGTCTTCAATGTCTCCTGTGAAAGTCATCAGGAGACCTGCTACATTTAACTTTCAATTGTCCTCTTCCTTTTTTCTGTTTCCATAGACTTGACTTGTCCCCCCTTTCTTGAAGCTCTCTTTTCTCTCATCTTTCATGATTCTAAGGCATCCTGGCTACACTCTGACTGTTCTGACCATTTCAATTTGGCTTCTTCTCCCCTCACCTAAGAGTAGAGCACCTTTCCCCTACAGTTCCGGCCTTGCCCAATTTCTCTTCTATGATTTCCCTTGATGTTTATATCTATTCCTGGATCTTCCCCATTTCCTGTATGTTGACGAGCCCCAGGTCTACACTTTAGGTGAGTAGCAACTGAACATTTTCAATTGTCCACTGGGGAATATCTATATATATTTATGCACTGCCAGCAACATAGAACTCATTTCTACCACATATAAGCTATACTATTTGACCTGATTTTTCTAGATACCCAGTGTGTTTTATTATCATGTGCCCAATTCCTAATTTTATGTTGGATAATTTGTGTATGGCTACATGAACAAATGTTTTGCTTGTCTTTTCGAGATCTTTAAAAAAAAAAATCTAATTTACGGGCCCAGCAACATGGCCTAGTGGCTAAAGTCCTTGCCTTGAACACTCCGGGATCCCAAACGGGTGCCGGTTCTAATCCTGGCAGCTCCACTTCCCATCCAGCTCCCTGCTTGTGGCCTGGGAAAGCGGTTGAGGATGGTCCAATGCTTTGGGATCCTGTACCCGCATGGGAGACCTGGAGGAAGTTCCTCGCTCCTGGCTCCAGATGGGCATAGCACCAGCTGTTGCACTCTCTTGCGGAGTGAATCATTGGAGGGAAGATCTTCCTCTCTGTCTCTCCTCCTCTCTGTATATCTGACTTTATAATAAAAATAAATAAATCTTTTAAAAAATCTAATTTACTTTATTGTGAAATATATAAAATTTGTTCACTTTATATCTAAATGTTTAGTTATCAAGTTTGCCTTTACTTTGCTATAGATACCAAGTTATCTATAAACTCCTAAAATCCTAGAATCTTTCACTAAATATTAGTGTTTCTTGATCCCACCCTTCTCCTACCTACTTTAACCCAGCCTAGTCCAGCTCATATTAACTCTTCTTAAATCACTATACTTACTTTCAAGCTTATATCCCAAACCTTAGTTTCCCATCCTTTAAAACTGAGCTCACACACAGATGGCAGATTAACTACCTCAAGGTGCAGCTCAGACTCTGCTTGAGTGGAATAATGAATAAAACATTCCCAATTGCCTTCTAAAATTTAATCTAGGGTTCCAGGCAGAACTGAGTTTATCTCTAATTATTCCCCTTACCTGACATAAAACTAGAACCCAGTGAACTTTCTGTTCTGTGCAGATACTGAGACTTCCTTTCTTAAGAATGTTTGAACTCTGCAGATTCCCCCCTCCACCAGTCCCGGTCTTCACGGAGCGCCATTGGGCTAATCATCAAATCTCATCTTCTTCTTTACCAAGCCTTCTCTGACCCACTCCTCACTTTCCACACAAGCTCTCACTCCTTAAGGCATCTCATCCAGTTTTCTGTGGCATTTGCCATATTATGTAGTTTTAGTATTTCCACTTTTTGGGGTCAAACATCAGATTTAATTAGCAAATTCAGAAGAATCAAGTGTAACACCTAGCACATACCTAGTGAGACCATTATAGTATAACAATTTTTTCTAGCTAAACATATGGGAAAACAAAATTAATAGCCAAACAAAAAAGCAATATGTTTCAGTTAGAAAATAATATTTGTCTTGATGGGTAATACATAGTGTTTAACAATGACAAATTTGTTTACAGGAAGCAGAGAATATTAAAAAGAAATACCGACTTCAGAAAACTTTTGAGAGAGGGTTTCTTTAAGGCATCAACTTTGATCCTTGCTGAATTGTTTTCACCTTCTTAAATTCTTTTTTTCCTTTTAGATTTCTATTTATGATTTCTGAATTTTTTTGTAGGGTTGTGGATAGAACCTGCAGTTTTAAAAAGCTGATAAGAAAATTCAACCTGCAGTAGAATTACAATTAGGATTATAATTAGAATTAGGATTAAAGCAAATAAATGCTGGAAGAACAAATTAATCTTTAACATATCATTCTGGTGTATGAAACTGATCAAAATGTTCACACTAGAGTTTAGAACTTTGACTAAAATAAATCTCAGTGTCAACACATTTTCCCAAACCCAAACCTGTTCCAAATGTTTGAATCAAATGCTTAGATTAGATGACAGTCTTCTAACCTGGTTATTTCCATGTGGCAGGCTAAGGATTTATTCTGAAATCCTTCTAAATAGAATGGAAACAAGGGCAAAAGCCTTTCATTTGGTTTAAATTGCATTCCATACAGATTCCTAGTCCTCCTTCATTTTTCAGTAAGCACTGCCACTTTCTATTTTTGAGGCTGATAGAAGGGAAATAGGAACAAGAAAAGTCTAAGAAAACACAAAGGGAGAAAAATGGAAAAGAAACGTAAAAGGTTGTACTCCTATGTGAACAAGCAAAGTAAGCAGGAGAGACTAGATAAGAAGGAAAGCAAGGGTAGCCTTAAGATGTGAGAACACACAGCAAAGGGCAGAAAAAAATACAGAGTAGTTTGGAAATAACAACTGCTACGTAAAAAGGAGAGCACGATTTTACAGTTCCATCTGCCCGTCTACCCTGGTCCAGCACAGACAGGGGCACCAAAGTCTTCCTTCAGAATTAAGGTCAATGAACTCTACACCAGGCCATATTATACTCAGAGGCCGGACCTAAGCCTTGGGTGGAAAGCAAAGGTGAGCAAATTCAGTTACGGCTTTCAAGAGACATACATTTTGTGCAGGAGCTCATACACGTGCATTAAACAGAACAAGGTCATTACTGAGGTACAGGTACTAATTAGGGAGTGCCACTCCCGCATACCTCAGGCTGTAACAGAGAGCATCGTCCTTGTGTTCACAGTCAAAAACCAAGCGAAAAGCACTCAGGAAAGATGAGGGGAAGGAAAGCACACCTCTGACTTACTGGTGGCTTCCTGGCCCCCAGAGCAGGCAAGCAAGGCCATGGGCAGGGGGTGGGGGGGAGGAGGTGGTGGGGCGTGCAGCGCCAATCTTCAGTGCAGCAAATGCCATTTCTAGATGCATTTTACACTCATTCACACAGCAGTTGAAGAAAGACACAAACATTATTGTCATCATTTTAGGAAAATTAGTTTGGGAGAAGAATATTGTAATGAAAAAGTCATGTCAGAAACAGCAGGATGCCAGTGTCCCAACAAGATGCTAGAGAGGCCACCAAGGCCGGAGGAACAAAGCCACAGCATACTGCATCTTCTAACCATCACTGGTCTGCAGTGTTCAGGACATGTAAAACAGCCTGCATCCACCTGTTCAGATGTGCTTCAAAGCCACATCTCTTCCATTCTACACTTTGTCCCTGTTTTTCACATTTTGCTGTGTGTTTTCCTCCGCCAGGGAATATAGGAACCCTGTTGACTAATCTCCTTTTGTAACAAACTGCATCATTCTTCCAGCTTTTAGCAATAACAGTCCCGATCGTAGTAATAGCTAACCCCTACTGTTCGTGTCAGACACTGTTCTGAGTGCTTTTACGCTTAAAAACATTTGTGCTCATACCAATTGTGGAGCTGGTGTCAGAACTATGATTTCTATTTTGCAGATAATAAAACTCAGGCTTGGAGAGTGAAGGTCAGTTGCTGAGCACCATGTAGCTAGAGAAGTGGCTCAGTGCTTTTGGTCTTCTAGAACCTGAGGATGGAATTCCAAATTCACTTTTTCTTGAGGTTTCCTTTCATTGTTTCTTAAATCTGATTTCTGTTCCCATCCTATACCACAGCCTGAAGAATGCTGTTCTGCTTTGAAGACTAGAACTGGGAGTCAAACCAACGTTCAGTACTGAAGTCTCAGAGGACACACGGGAGAAGCTTTGGGTGTGTGAAGATGAAAGGTCTGATCCTGGATTAAAATCTGGCCCCTCACACCTGCATGGGACTCCATGGGTGGACATCTGGCCTGTCACGACTGCGTTGGGCCCCTGGGGTGAACATCCAGCCCCTCATGACTGCCTGGGACTCCCTGGAAATACATTTGGAACCTCCTGCCTGTGTGAGTCCCCTTCAAGATCTGAAGGGGAAGCCTCAGAACCAACCACTCTCTTCCCCCATGTCACACCCCTTGCTCTTCACTCTTCATTACCCTGAAAGGGCAGGATTTCATCTGATTTCCTCAAACACCCACTTGAACAATTTTACTGCAGTTCCTTTTGTCAAGGGGCACAGAGTTTTTACCTGTTGTTCTCTTTAAATCCAATGTCTGTCTTCCAAAACTGTATTGTCCCTCTAAGTTTGGGTTCATGTGGAAATATTATAAACCTAACTGATAGTGTATGAATCTTCTGAAATTGAACAAAGCATACAGCAAAGTCCTGTGGTTTTCTAGGCAGTGTCCATTTGCTTGGAAATTTATTCATAAAATTCATATAAATGGAAATGGTCATTACAGTAGGTGTAAGGGTCAGATTATATTCCACAGACAGAACAAAATGATCTGCCTGCA